TATATATATATATATATGTGTTCGGGAGGTGAGCGAACACATACCAGGTTCGCTCACCTCTCACGGCTCTCTGCCGTGACAGAGGGAGGGCTGGATTCCCCTCTCCCCGCTCCGATCTGCCAGCGCTGACTGGCGGAACGGACGGGGGAGGGGGCGGGTACAGCTGGCTCTGCCTCTAGATAGGCAGAGCCAGCTGTCACTCACGCAGCTGGGCGGATCCCGTCATCTACGTTGGGATCCGCTCCGGCTGCGGCGTCTCAGTATACCGCGAGCTGTAGCTTGCGGTATACTGAGCTTAGGGTAACGGGAGGACGCTAGTTTGTGTCCTCCCGTTACCCTAAGGAGAACTATGGGGAAAAACACTGACCCCATAGTTCTCCTTTAATTGGCTCCTCTCTAAATTGGCCCTGTATGCATGCGAGATAGGAATCTTAGATTGTGATGTCCTCGAGGGCAGAGACTGATGTGAATGTGCACGGTGTAAAGCTCAGCATAAACTCTTAGCGCTCTATAAATACCGGTAATAAATAAATAAATCTCACAGTGAATATCCCACTCCTAATAACCATAGCGAACTAGAGGTTTGTAAACGTATTTATTAAAGATGCCCATAGGATGTACTTCCTCAATGACACAATTTCACTCAGCCCTGTGAATATGCACTTCCTTGTGTCACAAGTCTAAGCCTGCCATCTGAACTATAACTCAACATCTGAACAAGGTATCATCATCCTTGCTTGTTGGAAGCAATGCATGGTGGGATATGCAGTCTTGAGAAATGGAGATTGCATTACATTAAGCAGCAGGGAAAGAGAGACGCAAAGCACTCTGGGAATCCAGGAAGTTGGTGAAAGGGATGAGCAGATGGAAGGCAGCACTCACTATATAAATGGGATTTTTTTAGGGCTGTGAAAATTAAAGATTAATTTCTCGATTAATCGTTAAACTTTTTGATCGATTAAAATTATTTTGATCACTAATGAAAACACTCGCCTCTCCGCCGGTTTCCGGGAGTCCCGTCGGCGATGCGGTGACGTAACGGACAATTTTTTTCAAGTAAGCTTTGATTGTATCATCAAAACAACTCTAGTATGTATTCCTATTACAATGCTGATGTCATAACAGGAGAGGATATGCTGGGACTTCACAACTCCTTTAAATCAATATCATGCCGGTTTTTGTTTTTTTTTTATTAAAGAGGTCATAGACAGCAGATCTTTGGCAAATAACACTTCCAATAAAAGGACTGGTTTCAGTTATTACGTTGTGTACATAGAACAAGTATTTCTTACAGTGATGTTAAGTCATGATGGAAAATCATGTCTATTGCTCCTTTATAAGCTTCACAACTCTAAAAAACCACTAAATCCCGGCCTAACCCAAACCAGGGAGAGCCAGGTCACCAGGACACTCTGATGTTTGGCTATCTTGCATGTTGCTGTTAAGGAGTGGCTGCTCTCTGGCTGCAGGTGTTGAACACACATTATATGGCATCTACAATTCAACACTTCGACCGTCTGGCAAGTTACCAGCTGATATAGGGAAATAAACAAAGTTTTTCATCAGTTTGTACTGCATGAGCCATTTACAAAGACTGCGGCCTCCTGCTAGTCATTCCTGAAAAGTCCAACTTTGAATCCATGACATGCTGCCTATGTACCAAGTGTAATGACTGGAGGTTTTCAATGAAGGGTAACTTCTTGCTTATGCATCTTTTAACCACTTCCCGGCCGGCCGATGCAAAAAAAAACGGCTGGCCAGGAGCTCTCTAGATCTGAGCGGGCGTCTTTAGATGCTGCGGGAAATGCCCGATCTTTAAAAACAGGCAGCGATGCCTGTTAACATACAAGCGATCCACCGGCTATAGGGCCGGCGGATCACTTGTATGAGGTGTGTCCCCCCCTCCGCGGCTCAGCCCCTCCCGCTTTCACGCTGGTCCCGCTGTGCCCGGTGCGAGCCCGGGACCAGCATAGTGCCTCTCTGACAGGGGATCAGAGGGAGGTCGGTACACGAACTCCCTCCGGACCCCTCTCCGCTGTCAAAATGCGGAAGTGTTGTATATTACATCACTTCAGCATTCTTGTGTCACTCTCCAGCTTCAGATGCTGGAGAGAAGCTGATGAAGCAGATTTCTGCTTCATCAGCTTCTTCAGGGGGTTCCTAGGTGACATTAGGGGTCTTGGAGACCCCTGATGTCTCCATAAAGAGGACCTGTCACTTCTTTTGCAACCACATAGGGGGGTTTCTTAGCCCCCTATGGGATAGCAATAAAGTTAAGTGGAAAAAAAAAAAAAAGTTTCCCACCCCAATAATGTAAAGTTACAAATAAAAAAAGAATGTAAATTTTTTTTTTTTTTTAAAGTCCCCCCCATACATACACGCATGCAAACAGGCGTTGGGTGCGCATACGTGCGATAAAGACGATTGCGCCCATTACGCCGCACGTTACATATCGTCACGAACGTCGGAACGAGAGCAATAATTCTAGACCCATCACTCACTGATATCACTAAACTGATGAGCGGTAAAAGCTTTTAAAGCGTCGCCTATGGTCAATTTTGGGTATGTTCGTTTTTTTGCGATTTCGCTGGTGCGCGCAATTTTAAAGCTTGACATGTTTGGTGTCTATTTACCCGACGTGACCCCACCTTTTATATTTTACCAAAAATATGGGTAATAATAATTGTTTCCTAACATATTTTTTAAAAATTACTTTTTTTTTTCAAAATTTTCAATAATTTTTCCTTAATATAGTAAAAAATAAAAACCGCAGTGGTGATTAAATAGCTCAAAAGAATGCTCTATCTGTCCCCTAAAAAAATGGTATAAAATTTATTTCAGTACAGTGTTGCATGACGGAATAAATGTCAAAGTACCACAGCGCTGAATACTGAAAAATGGCCTGGCCAGGAAAGGGGTGTAAACACCGGGTCTTGAAGTGGTTAATCGCATGCTGAATTTACAGTACTGTGCAAAAGTTTTAGGCAAGTGTGAAAAATGCTGTAAAGCAAGAATGTTTCAGAAATAAAAAAGTGTTAGTTTATTTTTTATCAATTAGCAAAATGAACAGAAGAGAAATCAACATGAATTGAATATTTGGTGTGACCACGCATTGCCTTCAGAACAGCATCAATTCTTCTAGGTACACATGCACACAGGTTTTGAAGGAACTCGGCAGGTAGGTTGTTCTAGGTACATCTTGGAGAACTAAGCACAGATCCTCTGTGAATATCGGCTGCCTTAAATCCTTCTGTCTCTTCATGTAATCCCAGACAGACTCCATGATGTTGAGATCAGGGCTCTGTGGGGGCCAAACCATCACTTCCAAGACTCCTTGTTCTTTATTACACTGAAGAATTACATTGTCAACTGTATGTTTGGGGGTCGTTGTTCTGCTGCAGAATACATTTGGGGCCAATCACACACCTCCCTGATGGTATGGCATGATGGATAAGTATCTGCTTGTATTTCTCAGCATTGAGGACACCATTGATCCTGTCCAAATCCCCAACTCCATTGGCAGAATTGCAGCCCCAGACTTGCAAGGAACCTCCAACATGGTTCACTGTTGCCTGCAGACACTCATTATTGTACCGCTCTCCTGCTCTTCAGCGAACAAACTGCCTCCTGCTGCAGCCAAATATTTTAAATTTTGACTCCTCAGTCCAGAGCATTTGCTGACATTTTTTTGCACCCCAGTTCCTATGTTTTCGTGCATTGTTGAGTCACTTAGCCTCGTTTTTGGTTGCAATTCTTCCATGAAGACTACTTCTGGCTAGACTTCTCTGAACATTAGATGGGTGTACCTGGGTCCCACTGGCTTCCGCCAGTACGGTGCTGATGACACTGCTGGACATCTTCCGATGTCGAAGGGAAGCATGATGTGTCTTTCATCTGCTGCATTGTTTCCTTGGCCGACCCCTGCGTCTACAGTACTCAACGTTGCCCATTTCTTTGTGCTTCTTCGAAAGAGCTTAAAACAGCAGAGTTTAAAACCCCAGTCTGCTTTTAAATCTTTGCATGGGAAAGACCTTGCTGATGCAGTATAACTACCTTGTGTCTTGTTGCTGTGCTCAGGTCTTGCCATGGTGTATGACCTGCGACATGAAAGTCTTCCACAACCTCACCTTAGTACCAGGGTTTGGCTGTTCCTCACCCAGTTTTAAGCCTCCTACACAGCTGTTACTGTTAATGACTGTTTCAACCTAGATATGAAATCGATGATTAGCACCAGCTTGGTATTATTGATTAATCATGCACTTGACTCTAATCCTACAAAATCCCTAAAGGCGGCCATTCACTTTACAACCATCGCAAGACTTTAGTCTTACGATGGTTGTAAAGTAATTAAAAAAAAAAAAAGTACAATCTGCCCATCTTGGACAGGCAGATCGTACTTGCGATCATCGCAAACCCGCCCCGCTGAGGGGCGGGCTTCCGATGACCACAATGCTGAACGGGCAGTGTGCACACCGGTCCATCAGCGGTTGTCGAACGAGCACGCCACTAACCGTACGATTCTCGGCTGGTTTTCGAACATAATCGTTAGACAAAAGACGTGCGACCGTACAGTAAAAACGGTTGCACGCCTTCCATACACTTTGCGATCGTACGATCGCGGGATTTCCCCGCGATTATCGTGCGATAATAGCACAGTGTATGGGCACCTTTACTCTGTGCAAGTGTATGAATTGATGAAAGGATAGTCACACCAAATATTGATTTGATTTATATTTTTTTGGGTTCACTCACTTTGCATTTTGTAAATTGATAAAAAATAAATATTTGAAAGCATTCTTACTTTACAGCATTTTTGCACACCTGCCTAAAACATTTGCACAGTACTGTAGATTGCCCAAGATAAATATCACCATTTTGGTTAGCTTCACGCCATTCATCTCGCAAAATGACATTTAATTACACTTCATACTTCTAGTGGAAATTCAGTTCAGATTAACATAGCAGAAAAGGCTCAAAATCCTGTGACCTCATGTAATATGAAGTAACATCATTTGCTATTAGAAATAAAGCATTGACCCAGGACTTACAAAAGATGAAGGGGTGGAATGTGAGTGCGAGTTCTGTGGAGACCGTATTGAAGGAGGTAGACCTCTTACAGGACTGGAGCCATTTCCACCTTGGTACTGAGAAAAACAAACACAGCATGGTTATATTACAATGAAAATCACTGTAACTCAGTGGAGGAAGCGAGGGGAATCTCCCCAACAGGGACATAGACCCGACTGAGGCTCTATCCCTCCCCTGCTCTCAAACTAAGATATTTTGGCTGGAGTTGATCATTAAATGAATTAATAGCATATAATACGCAAAGTTACAGTGTCTGCTCAGATGAAGCACACTCATTCTTCCTACTCCCATCCTCTGTGAAATCTCAATTCACTGCAAGCAATGGGCAGAGGCAGATATTGAGTAGGGGTTCCATAATGCACCATTTTTAATCGTCACCAAAAAAACTAAAATCAACTGAAAACTAGAATTTTCTGGTTTCAATTAAAGCACGTCAAAAGCCTTTTTATAGTGTCGGGTGGAGCAGGGGAATGCTGAAATCCTGGTTGAGTTTCTCACTGCTGTCTGTGGCTGCATTGTATAGATGCACCCTGTTTGTACTGGTGACCACTGTCATTGGGGCAGAAAGTCATTAATGCAAAAACAGGACAGGAAAACTTCCAATGTAGACAACTATTCCAGTGACACCAGTCTACAAGCGAAATTCCCCTTTGGAGTGATTTCCTTTAACGTCCTGTGGCATGTTTGGGATGGGAAATAACCCCGATAGGGCACAGACGGCAGAAAGAAAACCTGGCAGGCATTTTAACCATTCCCTATAAAAAATATCTTCAAAATACACTATAAAGAGATAAAACTGTATTCTATTTCTAACAGCTTGCTTTTAAGTAAGATCCTTAATACCTGAATAGTAAGTAAGCAGCTGAAACAGTCTTCTGCTTGCTTTACCTTTATCTTACAGCACCCACATAAATGTTATTCATAAATGATGATTGGGGGAGCCTCTACAAAGCCACCACAGCCAAAACCTATAAGGTGTTATTGTCTAATAAAGGGATACATGGTAAGTGTACTCGGAAGCCATATTTTAGTTCTAGGTAAAATATAGTAGATCTGGATTTTTAAGTCTAGTATAATTTAACAGCAAGCTCTCACTGTCATAATTTCTGGCTATGTTAATGTCCACCCGGGTGTACCCGCTCAGCATCTCCATATTATAAAATATAAAAATCCAATAGGTGTGCAGAGCCATAAAATAAAGAGCAGAGATCGCACCAATAAAGTGGGAGATAACCAAAATTGTCAGGTGGTTTAACTTCCCAGCATCTACCAAAAACCGACATCTGATCTAGGTGGTTAGTGGCCCTTTAAATTATGTCTATGCATTTCCATTAATCTGTGTCTGGTTGTGACAAAGTAAACCACCTACAGCATTCATTATATCATGTGAAGACCCACCACAGTGACAGATTCATTAATACAGGAAAGTAAAATACTAGAGCAATGTACAGAGATAGACCTGTAGATCCATTCCTTACACACAAATGTATTTCACCTAAGTGAACTAAAAGAGCATTCTAGTTTTCTTCTGCATCCATTTCTATACCCAAGAGTACTTCCTCCACACTGGAATACACACTGGTATTAATGCAAATGGTACGATGGCAGATATGCTATCACAGCACAGATAAAGCACAGCACGATCCCATTTTACCCTGTATAGTAATTTAATAATAAGGGAACAGTGGAATGAAAGATGACAAATTACAGCCTTCCTTGCTGTCATCATAAGCAAAATCTTAAATTATCTTATACCTGCCAAGAACTCTAATGAAAGATTAGGAATATGCCGAGTTCCTTCTTGTCAAAACATCACAATCATTCTTTTTCTACATCAAACATAAAAAATAAAAAAAAAATCTCACCCACACCCCATTGAAATTTTACAATTACAACCATCTCTTTACAGAAAAAAAAACCACAAAAAAAAAAAAACAGACAATGTTGAAAGTGAAGGTTTGGCCAAAACTTTTCTAAGTTGAGCTTAGGGAGAGTTATATGGCTGGTCAGGCCCCATCTCCAGAAGCATACCCTTAACTTTCCTTTGCTGCCTGCAATGAAAATACGCAGTATCTTCAGATGTTAGGGAGCATGAAACTTACCCACGTGAGAGCGCTAAATCAATCAGTGTTGTCACCGCAATAAATACAATTCTGACAGTTTCCAACCCTTCCCAACTCTATCCAAACGCAAAAGGGAGAAAACAAATTGGGGTAGAGTTTCACTTTAAGCCAGGGGTAGCCAAACTCCGGCCCTCCAGCTGTGGTGGAACTACAAATCCCATTAGGCATTGCAAGATTCTCACAGCCACAGACATGACTCCCGGAAAGAGATGCATCATGGGATTTGTAGTTTCACCACAGCTGGAGGGCCAGAGTTTGGCTACCCCTGCTTTAAGCCCAAATGTAACAACTGCTCTAACAACTCTGTGGCATGGGAGGGAAACACAATTTTACTTCAAACACCCTAGAAAATTAAGCAAACAAAAGGTGCAGTTGGATCAAGTGTCCATCAATTGCACAAGAAAGAAACCTGGAGATGTTAAGTGGCATGCTATGTACTTGGTAGAAAATACAGATTAGCTAGTTTAGTTCAATGTCACCACCTATCTAAAAAGTGTAGATCACTGAAATAATATATACAATTCACAAGCTGGAGAGAGAAAATTATCAGGACTTCATAGGACTTTCTTATTCTTCAAACCCAATTCCCTACTCAGTAGTCTACCAGAAGGAAACTCATACCCAATATAGACTTGGAAGTGTGTAAGAGGTCTCACTGCATAATTCAAACTTACATCAAAGTAGTCGCTAATCTTGTGTCCTCGGCCTCCGCTGTTTTTTCCTAGAAGGGAAAAAAGGAACAACGTGAACAATAATGTTCCTAAAAAGTGAAATGTAAAATCAAGTAGAAACAGGAATGTAACATTTATCTGAAAACAAAATTATTTTTAACAGGACAGGAATATAGAATTCTCAGACTTGCTGGTTTCTAGGTCAGTGACATTACGATCATGATGATAGCCCTAAAACCTGCATCTTTAACATCAAGTGGCCACTGGCAGTTCCCATATTTGTGTCCTCACGGTTTTAATTTATAAATGGGCAGGCAGAGACAAGTAGTAGTAGCTTGGTTAATAAAAGCAGCTAACATGTGCATCAGGAACCCTCCCAGTATAGGATGACAACACCCGAATGAGACCGCAATCAATGGTAGCTCCCATATTTCCTCTCCGAATCCCTTTTAAGAAAATATGTACTGGGAGAACTATGTAGCCTCCCATTGCCGACTTCCTTCTGGAAAGGAGCTACACACGTCTAATACAATGAGTCCTGCCTGCCAACCCACCCTGTAGTCTCTAAATATGCTAAAAGAACCCCTAAAATACATACCAGTTCTGTAAGAAAATCTGTTCAGAGACCCTGCATCAGCCAGGCACATCACAAGACACTGGTTTCGAGCTACTATACCAGGTATTCAGTGCCACAGTTAAACGTAACGTAGCAAGTGAGCATCAACTATACTTTTTTCATAAAAGTTCTGATTAGAAGCAGGAGATCACTTCTAGAGGCAGTCATAATCCCACACTATGCAATTTGTATTTCTTCCACAGGAAGAACCATTTCCCTGAGACACTGTGCAATAGATGAAAAAGTGAGCCTGGGCAAAAGGGCAACATCAAATGCCTACTCTCAGTACTTTAATCCAGTACAAACCCCAGGACCAGTTCGCCATGGCAACTAAAAAATGCGTCCTGGGCTTTTGTCAGACTGTTAACTGCTTGCACCAGGGGTGAGCAATTCCAATTGCCCGACGCCCCGGACATGCAGTTCTGGCCGCTACATCAGCTCTGTCCCCCCCCCATTCTCTTCCCCGCTGGGAGCCCGCTGCATGCTGCGGCCTGTGTCCACTTCGATCCCAGGTGCTCTCGGCCTGTATCAGCAAAGGCAGCAAGGATTACAGGGGACACAGACCGCTGGCGCCCAGTGGGGAAGAGAGACCGCTGTCAGCCGCTGTGACCTGCATTTCAAACCCCCCCGTGCATTCTCTTCGGATCAACTGCTGGTGGTAGAAAGCCGGCGACAAGTCCTCCATCCAGTGGCCAGGAGCAATAGCCAGCCTGCTATTGGCTACTTTAAATTGCAGTTGCCAATAGCAGGCTGGCTATTGCACCCACTCACTGCCTGCTGTCAATCAGCAAAGAAGACCTGAAGCAGAACTTTCTCCTTTAGTTCCCTCCTCTGCTGATTGACAGCAGGCAGTGGGCTGGATGCAATAGCCAGCCTGCTGTTGCAATTTGAAATAGCCAATAGCAGGCTGGCTATTGCTCCCAGCCACTACCTGCTGTGTTTACATTCAGCTGCCTCAGCAGGCAGCTGTCACTCCCCAGCTAAAAGGTGAAAAGGTGAGACTAGGGGTCTAATAGACCCATAATATCAGCTTAAAGAGAGCCAGTCATCTCCAAAGTGCTATCACCTAAAGGAGCTTGTGCAGTCAGTCAAGTTGCAAAAAAAAAAGTAAAGTCACAAATCGGTTGCACTTGCATATGAAAACGATGATTGCGCTACAAGTCAGGTAACTGAAAATTACAACTGTAGTTGAAAATAAAGCTTTGTTAGTTTAAAAAAAAAAAACTGGCCCCTAACTTTTTTTTAGCTGGCCCCTAGCTTCAAAGCAAATTTGTCAAGTCCCGCTTTGAACATTGCCAACCGAGTCTAGGCCTCCATTAACAACTACATGGGGAAACAAGCTGATTAAAACATTAGCACTCAGATTACTAGAATCTGAAACTGTTTACATTAAGCTGATTATAGTCCCACATACATAGAGAGACTATTGTTTCCCATTACATTTCCCTTTAAATAGCAATATTTCTGCATTAGAACTTACAACAGCGTGTCTACACATATCGTACACATCAATACATTTTGTAAGTGTTTTTGTCCAGAGCTCCCTATAATATTGTGAACAACTAAACTATTAGTGGCAGACTTCTAAAGCCTACAATTTCTGGGTATGGGACCAATGTGCACGCTCCCTCTCTCATCCTCGAATGCAAATGATCTTTGGTTGGGCTGGACTAACAAACCCAAAAAGAGGACAACCCACTAAAAGACACCCACTATCAATCTGCAAGGACTCAACATCAATGAAAACATGCAGGCAAGTAAGCAATCCATGCAGAGAAACACATTGGCCTCACAAATTCCTATAAAGTATACAATGTTTCCTGAAGCTGGTGGTACAACAGGGATTACAGCCAAAATATTTGGTGGTCTAATGGAACATTTCCTTCTTACTGACCAGAGAATCAAAGGGCAGAATGCCGGCAGCTATAAGATGATTAGACAGAATGTCACTTATATCATGTCAAGAATAGACGCACTGCAAGCTGCTGAATTAAATAATGAGCAGAGCATTGCTATAAAAAAAAAAAAAAAAAAGTTGGAAAGGGATCTCATTTAACCCTTTCGCTGCCAAGCCCTCCGGAACATTTTTCAAATCAGCTGGCCAAGCCATTTTTGAATTTTCTGCAATTTTTTCCTATTGATTTAAATTTTCAACTGCTGGGTTGCTAGCGTTTGTAAAACCCCAAACCATATATTTTCTGAAAGCGCAGGCCCGGTAGAATAAAAAGATGGTGATACTAAATTTGTAGGCCCTGCGATAATTGCGCAAATGTTTCTCAAATTAATATTAAACCGATAAAAATACACAATTCAATTG